ACCCTGGTGAGCCGCGTGCCAAACGTTGCTGACCCCTGCCTTAGAACAATGACTCAGATTTCCCTCAGTCCAATAACCATCCCAGCACTCTTCTGGATTGGGTTTTCCTCCTCCCTTAACAGAGCTCCTCTACTTCCCTCCCCTTTCTGCTTTTCCTAGATATGTTTGTAGAAATCTTATTTCCATTGACTCCTTCCCTCTCTCACACCCATCAAACACACCCTCTCCCCCTTATTAAGGAATGTGGTAAATTCTCCCTCACATGGGATCTCTAGATCAAGTTCTATCTGCTCTGCTTCAGCCACAGGTTTCTGGGCTTGAAACAGGAATGAAATCTCTGACCTGTGCTATATAGAAGCTCAGACTAGATCATCATCATGGTCCCTGCTTGTCTTAGATTCTGTAAATCTATGAATTTCAATCTCTCTCTCTCGTCTCCCTTATTTGATTTCTAGAAGATCCCACCTCACTTCCTGCCTCTGCAAAGTTCAATTTTCAAGTCCTTTGTAAGCTCTTCTTTTAGTCACTGGCTTGCTTTCTTGTTCTGGATTTCCCTTTAAAATCACACACTTGCATTTGTGCTTTTTACTCTTTGGTCCCCCATTGTAGGATGGAATATGTAGGATATATATATTAGGATAGAATGTATGTGAAAAGACGCCTGCTTGTCTGGCAAGGAAAGAGAACAGCCAGCTGAAAAGCTGAGCCAGCAATCGGATCAGATAAACAACTGGGTCAGCAATCCAATCAGGTAACAACTGAGTTGGCAAACTAATCTTAGTGCTAGGCAGAAAGGTGTTTATACAATATAGAATGCATAAGTTTTGTAACTGTGTATTTAAGGCGAGCACCCAAATATGGGGGTCACTTGCATTTAACCCTATGCTGTGCCCAGGTTTGATGGACCTATCACTCACTGAAGCAGCAAATAAATGACATACTTTTTCAGCACAGGAGTCTGTCTGTGAACCTGTGCACTCTGCGTGGTGGGAAGAACTGCTCAACACCCAGCATCGTCCTTCTTATTTCCATCTTTCCCTTGGTACCTCACTCTGTGGGGCCTCTTCTTACTAACTGCCTCGGTTTCCTACCATTAGATGTGTGTCAGTAAAATGCCCTATGATTCCAGCTTCCCATGTTCCCCTTCCTTAGGAGCTTAAGCCCTGAGAGATCCTTTCCCCACTGGCTCTCCCCTATGCTCAGCTTTGCTATGACTCTTAATTGGTTAATAGCAAATGCAAGTGACGGTGCCTCTCACTGTATTCTCCACCTTGCCAAACAAGAGGCACAGTGAGTGAGATCTATGCTGAGAGACCCCAGCTAGCCACCCTCCCCAGTCTTAACAGCCAGGTAGTCTTAGCCCCATGAGTGTTCCTCCATATTAACCATGCTGCTTTCTGTGGCCACCTATTGTAACCAGCACTAATACAGCGCTTCCCTTTGGTGGCCTTTATGAACAAGTTTCACTGCACACTTCAGTGGAGTTTATGTTAAATCTCCATTGATGCCCCCTGGTTTGGCTGCATCCACCTCAGACATCTTGGTATTTCAAACCACCAGGATGCTTAACACCAGATCCGGTACCTTTCCTGTCTCCACTATCTCTTGGCTAAGGGCCTGGTCTTTGCTTTTACTCTGCTTTGATCTGGGCCAGAGACTTGTCGGGCACTGTTATTTCCTTTCTCACTCATTGGGACCCAGAGTGCCCATGCTGTCATTTTCTTCTCTTGCCATCTAGATTTCACTAGAAGGTGACTCCCTTGTCCCCTAGCACAGGCATGTGTCTGGCTTTCTCCTCCTATGAAGAGCATGGCCTTCAGACTCAATAGGCCAGCTTTCCTGACTGTCTCCCATTGGTTCCACAACACCAGTGGGGCCATCAATCCTGCACGCAGCTTGTCCGATTCATCTTGTTTGCCCCCAGGCTTGTGGCACTTGCATACGACATTGCTGTACTCTGATCCCCTGGCCTTCCCCCCTGCATTGTCTGTGTCTTATCTGCTGCACTGGACACGGTGTATTTGGTACAGCCTGATCCTCCCCCCAGTCTTGGGAGACCCCCACGAGCCTTCACCATGTTGTCCATATTCAAGGTGCAATTGGGGCTCTCTGGAGGTGCAGCACACACAGGTGCAGCCCAGGAGAGGAGGCTCTGGCTTATTCCAGGCTGATCTGAGGGCGAGTGTGCAATGGAGGCAGGACTTCCCTGGCTGCCTATGGCAGCAGCACTGGCTAGAATCCCCACAGCTCTACTCCCTCCCACCTCTGACACATTCCTCCCAGCCCCAGCGTGCTCCCTAAGACAGGGCTGGAGAGGGATCCTGCATGAGGTCTCCATGACAGCCTGATGCAGTGCCTATCCTGGGGGTATTCTCCCATGGTCAGCCCCGTTATACTGCTGCAGCAGCATTGGGGGGCTGGGCTGGAGAAAATCCCTCCCTCCAAAAGGAAAATGAAATCTATCACCTTTCCCAGCTGAGAGCCGATGTAACAAGCCCAGCTAGTAGTGAGCCAGCCAGGGTGAAGGCTTTCAAATCCAGGCAGTCTCCTCTCACCCTTAAAAACAACCCAATCCTCCATGAATCCAACCCCTCCTCTCTACTTCATCTTCATTTAGATTAGTTCCTTGCCTGGATCATCAGCTACTTTTCCATCCCTAGGCCATGACCAGTAGGGGCTGATGCATACATGTAGCGCTGCTCTTTACTGGCTGGAATGTGTCAGAGCTGCTCGCGGCTGCAGGTTCTTTGTACTAAGCTATTGGAGCAGCTGCTGTAGCTCACAGGATAGGGGCTTCTCTTTTGGGAGAGGAATTCTAGTCCCTGTGCCACAGGTGGTCAGCAAGCTTGGAGTCTTCAGCCATGGACTGAGAGAAGATCTACGCCCCACCCTGTCCCCAGAAGTCACCCTGAGGCTGTCAAACTTTCGCTCTTATTTACACTTAAAATGTATAAGAGAGAAAAGCTCTGATGCTTCAGGGCATACTATACAGCAACATGAACTGCTTGGTGGTAGGGAGAAATTTCCACCAGGGGCAAGCTATTGCATAATTGTCAATTGCGAGAGGTTTTGCATCTGTGTCTGAAGCTTTTGCTATGGGCCATTCTCAAAGACAGGACACCAGCCCAAGTGGAGCACTGCTCTGGTGCAGTATCTTATGTCCAACATGGATCTGGTCTGGATGCCCCTCTCTACTGTCCTTCACTTCCACCAGCGAACCCTAGTGACCCATAACAGAGTAATCTGCCCCAGAGCTGATGGCACAAAGCAGTGAGGGCTGACCTCTCGCTGTGTGGCGAGTCTCGCAGCGAATCCACCGAATCCCTGTATTGCATCATGGGTCTTCTCGAGTCCTCAACGCAATACGCAGCTCCTCGCCGGGTGCGGGCCTCGACGCAGGCAGGGCTGTTGCATTTACTGGTTCCTACTGAAGAGAGCATCATACCAGACTGCGAATCAGAAGTCAGGCTCTCCGTCCGGTCCAAGCTCCACGTGTGGCTTTCCTGCCTGTGGAGCAAACCACAGATCAACAACAGTCAGTGAGAACTTCTGCCATGCCCTGCTACACCACACCTGTTCCTTCAGGCAGTCTGTGGCTCAGAGCCATTCTGAAAGAATCCACACTCTGGATCCACTTTGCTTCTCTTTCTAAAAGTAATGTGTTTAACTGGGGGGCCAGTTTTCAAAACCTGGTC